GCTAAATGCCAGTGCCATTAGCAACAAAAGTGATAAAGCATCACTGCAGCTGCAGCACATATAATTTAAAGCCCCTGGTCACATTATGGTTTAAATTATTGTCTTGTCACGTTTATGATATAGTCTCATCATAATAATGAAAAAAGCAATGTAGGCTGAATTGGAGTTTATTATTTAAAAAAAAAATGAACACAATAAAAAGCCCTGACTGCATACATCAAGAGAAAAGAATCACTACAAAGGGTGAATAACATATAACTTCTGTAGCAGTAAGATCATAATTTCTTTATAGCGAATCACTTTTGATGAATTCTCTTTCTTCATCAGTCACTGAAGGTTTGTTCTGACAACAAGATTGATTGGGCAGGTCAAGAAACCATCAGAAGACTCAGCCAATATCCTAGAAAAGCTCACTGAATTTTTTCCATTCTTTCATCCAAAGCAGAAAACTACATTTGGGCTGAGAAAAACATATCCACTCATATGGTTATAAATCTTCCCACAAAGAACTTAATAGTTGTATGTTTTGAGAAACAAATAGCTTCATGTCTAATTGGAATAATCAGTGTTTAAATTCCAAAAGAGAGATGGTAAAATTTACATATGCCAAACAGACACATGTTTTCTGGCTTGGAAGTCTTGTCTGCTAATCTAGTCAGTATTTGGACCATCTATATTTGACTAGGAGAGGGCAAGAATGGGAAATGAGTAACAGAGATTAATGCTGAAGAAGAAGAACAACCTCATCACAAAACTCAGAGAAGTGTGATTTTCAATGGAAAAGCTGCCTTTTAGTTTGCATAGTATTCCAGGAAGGACAAATAATTTTCTCTCCTGTCTCTAATTAAAACTAGCAGAATTGGTGTGGCCAGGTGGGGATTTTAAGCTAAGCTGCCCTGATCAGAGTATCTGAAGCATCTTAATGGTTAAGGGTTGTTTATCTGGCTTACTCTCATTGCCAGCTGGTTGGAAGAGATATTGAGAAAGGAGCTATTCTCAGGTCCTGGGGGCTTTATGACATCTACAGATCTATGGTTGTCGAGCCAGGATGAGATGGATCAGTCAGGTGCGTCCTCAGCACACCTTTAACATGAGCAAGTGGGAAAAGATATGGATCGTTTAATTTACTGATCTAGCACGGTGAGCCAGAGTGAAGTTGCCCATATAAGGGAGGTTCTTCAAGCTCCCCCGATAAGTTTGCAGGAAGGTGCACTGCACTGCTGGTTAGATATGGCCAACATGCTGTTTCTCATTACAAAACCTTAGCGATGTGCATTCCATGAATGAGCCATCTGCCATGAGGTGATGGGGGAAATAGCGGCTGCATCAGATCTACCCATATTAACTTATCAGCAGTAGCAAGCTTCAGACCACAAAAGCCAGCCAGTAGTTCCTGGAGTCTCTTTACCAATAAAACCCAAGTGTTAAGAAGAATTAAAGTAGCATAATGGCATAATGTGCCTTTCAGGGCAGTGTTGACATACATAGCCAAGGTTACTTTAATCAGGTGTCAACCAATGAAATCCTGAGAATGTGTCCAAATCAGAAATCCTCACTTGCATTTTGTTCACTTTTAACTTCTTAGGATCGCCTGCAAGGATCGCCCTTGTTGCCCCTGAAATTCTCTTCATTTGTTTGCTGTATGTGCACTCTTTTTCCTCTTGTTTATGTGGTGTGTGTTTTTAAAAGAAAAATGTCATTTGTGAGCAAGTGCAGCTATACATACCAATAATTCTGAGCAATATATTAAAAAAGCAAGGACAGAGCCTGAGAGGAGAAAGAACTACATGTCTCTCTTCAAAGCTTAGATCAGGCATAGGCAAACTCAGCCCTCCAGATATTTTGGGACTACAATTCCCAACATCCCTGACCACTGGTCCTGTTAGCTAGGGATCATGGGAGCTGTAGTCACAAAACATCTGGAGGGCCGAATTTGCCTATGGCTGGCTTAGATGCAACTTCTCCTTTGCAAAAGGAGCCCACAATTCTATTGGAGTTGCAGTGGGCAGGAGCAGTGTGCTTAACTCTTTGTTCATAAACAATCTCTCCAGCTCTCCACCACCAGTAGGGAGCACAGGCCTAGAATCCATGATGGGAAGAAAGTGGCTGGGAGAGAGTTGAAAGAAAAACTCTGGATGAGGGCTTTCCCTCCTGCTTGTTGCTCACCTGATGGACAGTTCCACCTGTGTGAAGCAGCCGCTGCCACAGGGCTTTGAAAACACACAGTGGAGGAATAGTACATAGTTCTGCCCTGAAATATCTCCTCCTGATTGTGGAGACAACAAAAAAAAAAGTCCTACACTTCATCCCCAAAGGAGTTAACTGAGGAAGATGCACTAGCGAGTGCTTATTTAATAAAGTACAGACTGCCAGGCAGAGAAACTTGGGCTACACTAACAAGCATGCAGTACAAAAATAAAGAAAAATTTACTTCTACATAAAGGCAGAGAAAAGGGGAGCTATTTTTATATGAGCAATGTGGAGTGGGGATGTGGGGGGACGACCCATGGTACTATGGCATGGCTCCAACAAAAGCTTTAGCTCTGTTTTAATTATTTCCAGATAAATAAACAAAAGAAGGCCCCCAGGCCTTGGTGCATCCTGTTTACTAGACTCTCAATTTTATTATAGATATTCAGGGCGGGTTTACCTATTCAGCCTTGTCAGCAGAAGCCCTGTGAAAGGACTTCCACTTGTGCATTGTTGCCTTCCCCCCCCCCTCCTCTCCACTGCATTCCCTAAATTTGCTGGGTGGGGGAGAAGAAGCCCCAGAACACTGTGAGAAAGGAGGGAGTATCGATCTATTTGGCAAGCTGTAATGCAGATGGACTGATTGGAATGGCTCGATGTTGAATTCCAGTGTGTGTGTGTGTGTGTGTGTGTTTCGGCTCTTCCAGAACAATTAAAACTACTGGCATTGCAATCTACAGGTGAAGATTTCCAATCAAAATAACTAGAATCAGGCAAAATAAAGATCCCCAAAGTATATTTAAAATCAGCCTACCATAGAACAATTTATTTTGCACCACCTAGAGAACTTTGTGATATGTGGTGGTATACAATAAATAAACAAAAGCACAACACCTGACTAATTAATCTCCATTTTCCATATAGTATGCCATCACATGACTACATAAGAATTATAACTTATGATAAAATATATATAAGACTGATAGAAAATAATGTTACTGATTTGAGCTTCCACATTATCAGATCTATGCATGTCTACTTAAAAGTAAACCCATTAAGGAGAATGTGACTTATTCCTAACTACACATGCATAGGATTGCAGCCTTACAGGGCAATCATATACAAGTCTCCTCAAAAGTAAATCCTCTTGACTGAGACTGCAATCTCATGCCTCTTAGCTCAGAGTAAACTCTATTAAAATATATGAAATTTACTTTTGTGTAGATATGTAGGATTTTTTTGTTAACCTTTTTAAATTTATTACCATTGTTCCAGTTGATTAAATAAAGGCAGAGACAGAACTGAAAAATCAATAAAGTCCAGAATCCTTTTTCTTTTTGCCTTTTACTAGACATGTTCCGGATTTGAGATTTGAAAAGTGGAAAAGCCTGTGATAAAAGTGGAACTGCATATTTTAAAAGAGGGTTTTGTGTTTACTATTACATTATACAAAATGGATCTGAGTGGTAGAAACAGACAAAGCGAGATACAGAGATTAGACTTGTTGCAAAGGCAAGCACACTAGTATCTACTACAATCTTTTTAAATGGTAGACACATGTCCTTGGTGCTAGACAATATAAATATTTTCAATAGTTAAAATAAGGTGGTGGGACATTTAGCTGTGCAACTGTACACATTGGCTGTAAAACAATAACAATGAAAGTTCACAAAAGGATGAGGTACACGTGGTCTGGTCTGCAACATAGCTCGATACTCTGAAGCACATGCGTATCTACCACAACACACTCACAGACAATTTTCGCAGCACCAGGGCCACCTAAGACATATTGTTACTTGAGGTGAACCACCAAATAAATGGGAGCTCCATATGCTAGGGAAGAAGGAGTGAGTGAAGATCTACATCAGGAACAAGGTAGGAATAAATATATTCATTGGCATCTGCTGCCCCTGTGGATCCTGTCACCTGAGGCACTTGTCCCCCTGGTCTCATGGATGGGCCAGCCCTGCACAGCACTACCAAGCACAATTAACTGAGCTACCTACAAATCAGAAAGTCCTTGGTTTGAGTCTCATTTTTCCCTTTAACTTATCAGGTGGTCTTTGGCAAACCACTGTATATCATCCTCAGCTCCCCATGTGTGCTTTGGGAATAACACGAGTGATCTGCCTTGCATGACTGTCGAAAGAGTTACAGGAAACTGATTATGAAGTGCTTTGATTATTTTCTAGTGTTACAGAAATGATAGCCATCAAGGCTAGTAGCCACTGATTATGTTCTGCCTCCACCGTCAGAGGCAAGTATCCTACTGGATATCAGCTTCTGGAAATCACAGGAGAGGAGAATGCCCTTGTGGTCAGGTCCCATAGGCATCTGGTTGGGCACTGTGAGAACAGGACTAGGTGGACCATGGGTTTGATTCAGCAGGCTCTTATTATGTTCTAATAATAAGCCATCTTTGTCCCAGTGATAAAATGTTACTCTTTAAGTGCTGGAAAAATGAGGTATAGAAGAATGAATTCCTTGCAAGAAATGGGGGGGGGGGAGGAAAAAGTGCATTTGCTGTGCTGTGAACAAACTAGAAGGACCCGCCTAAATCTAAAACATCCCTTTAGCTCAAAATGACCAATTTATTATACAGCCCAATTCATGCTTTAGAACACGTGACGGTTATTATTCTGTGTGGTGACAAATTGCTTTTCTGTCTTATAAAGGAAAATAACAGTTTACAGGTTCAATAGTGCAAGTCATATTAAGCAAAGCCTGTCTGTACAAAGTAATAAATGCTGTATTAGTAAAGCCACTTCTTTAAATTAAGTCCCCAAATCAGAGAATGGAACAAGACTGACCTTGGATCTTGGCGGTGCTCGGATGTACCATTTACAATCAACTGCCTCGGTGTCCGAAGCTTTCCCTTCTTTCCCAATTTGCACAGATTCCACAATTCCTTCAGATCCTCCCATCTCAAACTCACAAACTGAGTAATAACAATAACAACAACAAAATCAAACCCAATAAAGAAGGTGGAGGGGAAAGGAAATATATATTTATATATAGATATAGATATATAGATATAGATATAGATATAGATATAGATATAGATATAGATATAGATATAGATATAGATAGATTAGATATAGATATAGATATAGATGATATAGATATAGATATAGATATAGATATAGATATATCTCAATTAAAATTTGAAGACTTCCAAGTGTTATGAAACACTGAACATACCAACCTGGCAATGGTTTCAAAACCCCAAGGTCCTTGAAATCCGGATCTTAAAATAAAATTAAGGAAGAAACAATTATTTTTTTTCTTCAAAAATTCAGTTGCAAACTAGCTTAGTCTTTATTTAGGTGGCCCCCTGTAGAAAAGAGCTACTAATGTGCATTCAAGAATGTGACTTGCTTTTAAAGAACAAAGTCACCCACTGAAGGATAATGTAGCACAATAAATTGCTCAGACAAGCTGAATTTGATCCCCCCCCCCTTTATATGAACAACTGGCTGTGATAATACGTTTTCCCTCCTATGAAAATAACACTTGCTAAAAGAAGACTTAGCATTAAAGGCCAGTTTCACCATTAACAGATTAGGCATTTAATTATATATATCAACAATACAAATACAGTATGCTTCAGGGACAAGAAAGGATCCTTCAGAATTTTACCCACTTTGTAGACAATGCTTTGTTTAAATGACAACCATATCAGTTACAAGAGTTGCAAAACTTACTTTCAGCTTTCGTTTATATTCAGAGAATAGGTTACAAATAGTAGATGTTTAATCTTGATACAGGATGAATGCAATGATCAAAACAGGCACAGGACTGAAATGTACAAGATAAGGGATCACCAATTCTGTTGTATTACAAGTGTGATTTTTCTTGGAACTTATGCTTCCACAGGAAGCGTTTGGAACAGGGGCAGCACTGATATGTAAAAGTCTTTTGAGACCACAAAGCTCTAACCATTTAATTGTCTTCTGATAGGGATCAAATGTTTAATTGATGCCTGCTGGGTCTCCAATTGGTCTCAAGAAAAAGAGTTTATGCCAGGAATGGATCTAGAGCTTTCTGGCGATATATGAGATAATGTGATGCTGGTGCTGAGATTTGCTAGCAAGGGTATGGGTTAAGAGGTTTTAGTGCATGGTGGAGAATCCTGTTGCCCATTACGTCAAGAAAGCAGGTGCTCAAGTTATGTAGCAAGGCATTCTCATCAATGACTGACTGCTTCAGAGACACAGAAAACCACCGATTTGCAAAAGCCTGGGTAGCCTCCAGAATGCTTTTAGAATGTTGTGAATGCTTTACCACTTAGAACTAATTTTATGCTTGCATTTTGAAATTGTTATAAGCAGCAACCAGGTTTCAGGATACAGCATGAGAAAAAAACCCAAATCTGAAATATTTATAAATAAATATACATTTATTCACCTTTCCTCTTTGCAGGCATGTCTGATTTTTCACCTCATAAACAGCTATTCCTCTCCCCCCCCCCCATCACACACAAAAAATTGCTGGCCTAGAAAACTTGACAGAAATCTACTGGGATTCAGCCTACTAAAATTGATGATTAATACTTTTTAATTGGTTCAATGAGTTTATTAACTTTACATTGTTTGTCACCCGTCAGAATTACACTGCAGTATGTCAGCCTTGGAAATAATGTTTCAAAATGTGCAGGTAAAGAAAATGCACATGTGCAATTATACAAATTAGATACTGGAATCTGTTTAAGTAAGAACATACAGTACAATGTGAATATTGCATTTTATGCTTACTCTGCCTCCAAGCAGCTCAGTGTAGCATACATGAGGCCATGCCGCCTCGGTCCTCACAACAACCTTGTGGTGTAGGTTAGGTTGAAAGACACTGACTTTATTTATTTATTTATTTATTTATTTCATGCAATCTAGTTTTCATGCAAAGCAGTTTTGGTTTGTTTGTGTGTGTGTGTTTTTTAAAAAGTCTTAACTCAAACCTCTCCAGTCAGCTAAAGAGGGACTAGAATCCAGAACTGCCCAAAAACACCACACTGTCTCCTATACCACCATCACTACAAGTACCACTGAATCCTCTTTTCCAGAAGCAGTGCTTAGTAATTGTAAAACTGTTTCCAGAGGGATAGCTGTGTTGTGCTATCATCTGTGGATTGAAACAACACAATGGGTTTTGAATCACACTACATGTGTGAATTAAGGGACGCGGGTGGCACTGTGGGTAAAAGCCTCAGCGCTTAGGGCTTGCCGATCGAAAGGTCGGCGGTTCGAATCCCCGTGGCGGGGTGCGCTCCCACTGCTCGGTCCCAGCGCCTGCCAACCTAGCAGTTCGAAAGCACCCCCGGGTGCAAGTAGATAAATAGGGACCGCTTACTAGCGGGAAGGTAAACGGCGTTTCCGTGTGCAGCTCTGGCTTGCCAGAGCAGCGATGTCACGCTGGCCACGTGACCCGGAAGTGTCTCCGGACAGCGCTGGCCCCCGGCCTCTTGAGTGAGATGGGCGCACAACCCTAGAGTCTGTCAAGACTGGCCCGTACGGGCAGGGGTACCTTTACCTTTTTACATGTGTGAATTGGCTTAGCACATGCCTGACAGAATGTCTGGTTTTTTATGTGAATGGCCACTGTTAATAGCATCTGTACTTTTCTGCATTTCATATCCTTCTGACCTCATTGTTTACGTCTCCCAGCCATGTGTCTGTGCCCCTGCTACTCACTTGATACTGAGCTAGATGGACCAATAAACTGACACAGTTCTCTGTGCAGCAGCCAAAGCCTAATTCTTATCACTATATTGTGATTCCACAAGCCCACCCCTGGCCGGCTGTCCATTGTCCTCCCTGGCCGGGGGCGGGTCAAAGGCCAGGTCAGGCAGGTGGGTGGCACCCGCCCAGGTGAGCCTCGCTTGGTGCCGCAAACCCCACCCACCTGTGGGGAAGGGAGGGTGGATATTGCCAAACACATTTATTGGAAAGATCATATGATATTTTTTAAAAAAGTTTTTTTAAAAAAATATTTATATGCAGGTTTTGTGGGGGAAACCCAAAAAGTGGCTTACAACAATAAAAACTACAATCCAACATTACTAAAACCAGAATTCATAAAAACTACAATTATAGTATTCCAGCCTCTATTATAACAAAAATTAATCAGGGGACTCAGCTACATTAGTCAAAATACAGTGTTATGAATGTTGTAGAGCTGAAATAGCAACTCAATTATAGTTTCAATTGTGAGCTTTACAATGGTTTTTTGCAGAGAATATTCAATGCGTTTTTTTATAGCTGTGTAGATCTAGCCAGAAAAGGCCAATTGAAACAAATGAGCATTTAAAGCCTTCCCAAAATCTGAAGTGTAGCTGTTCGTTGTCAATGTGCTGGGAGGGAATTCCAAAGGTCTTGTGGTCACCTATCTCACAGATCTGGGAAGTAGATACATAACTAGGGCCTCCGACTTAGATATCAAGCTCCACCCTGCTACCAGAGTAAAGGGGACATTCCACACATCTTCCTTAAAGATAGGTGGTGCAACACCAAAGTGCACTTTTCAATTACACCCATCCTGTGCTAATGAAGTGGGAACTAGGCCATTAATGCCACTAGTGGGAACACGACTATATCCCATTCACTGAGCATGTGGCTATGTATAAGATCAGACCGTCTATTTTCCATACCTTTAACAGCAGAGCTACTTATGAAATCCTCCTCTGCTGAATTTCTTTCCATATTTGGGATTTCAATATTACTGGGAATATTAATAAGAGGGGAACTGATTAATTTTGGTATCTGGGGTTTTCACTAAAACAAGTGCACATAAAAATTGGCTGATGCTTCCATTTTCAGGGGATTAATCTGCTGCTGTTTTCACATTTTCGCAGGAAATATGCTATGCTCCCATGGTGGGGGTAGCCAACGTGTTGCCCTCCAGCTATTATTGGATGACAACTCCCATCAGCCTAAGCCAGAAAATCCAATGATTAAGGATTATAAGAATTGCATTATGTAATATATGCATTATTCATTAAATATAAAATAATAAAAAATCTGGCATGTGGCTCCTTTAAGAGAAACAGCTATGACCCAAGAGGCCAGATCTGGGTCAGAGGTGTATCCTAGTGGGAGGAATTAGATTCTATGCAGGCAGACTCTTAGGCCTCACTAAGAATAAAGCCTGGTTTACCATTCACTCAGTTTTCCGTGAGTTCCTGCATAAGCAGCACAAAACAATACATATCTACAACCACTTCTGCAGGACATCATGTTGGATACTCCTGTCCAGTGCTATTTTTTTTAGAAAAAGAGGTGCACCATGAACACACTCCCTCTTTCTCTTAGAATGGCAATGGCTCTCACCTGAGAGGTGCTGGAACTGAGTTCTGACAAGTTCCCCCTGTAAAAGAGCCTTGCTCCTGTCCTCCAGGAAGGAAAAACTTGTCAAAATTCAAAGGCTGTTGTCAGAATGTTATTTTTTGTTTATTTATTGACTTGTTTTTAAACTCTGCAGTGGGTCAGGGTTCTAGCTATGGGAAAAGAATAACAACCAGAGTGAAGAAATGTGTCAATTGCAAGGAAACTGTGGTTGTCCTATCTTATAATAGTTGGAGGTCTGTTAAAAAATAAGAAGGCAGGAGGGTAATCTGGGTTATAACCTGACAAATTTGCCTGCCGGCAGCCCATTAACAGGAATACATCATGGCTGAAGCTAGTGAATCCTGGCCTACAGGAACTGCATTTCCCCCCTCTAAGTTTCCCCTGCATAATTATAACTATTTCAAGCCCTGACAGCTCCCGAGAGACCAGCACAGTAGTCATGCAGTTTGTGAACATCTGCATTGCTGTATCAGTGGTGAAATATAAATAGACAGGGACACATCACTGAGTGCAATAGAAGCCAACTTTTCCACATCAACCACACAGTAAAGGAAAATACCAATGCAGCACATGTGAATATATTGGCCCTCAGCACCACAGCAGGATTTTACTTCATCTAATGAACTGCTTAGCAGTGAGCATAGCACGAGATAGGCAGAAATGAAGGCCCGACTATAGACTGGCTCACAATGCCATCTAGTCTCATCCTGGTACATCGCAAAAGTCTGCTGCTCTGACTTACGGGCCACCAATGACCTAACATATGCAACAATGACTTCCAGTTAATAATGCCACTGAGTAGGTCAAGAAGTGGCCACGATGATGAACTTATCTGACTTGCTGCATAATACATGCCTGAGGAGTTCACCCATCATCAAAAGCAACCAAAGTCAGAGCAAAGGCTCAT